CCTTCCCTCCTTCCTTCTTTTTCTTTTTTCTCTTTTCTCTCTTTCTTTTTCTTTCTTTTTCTTTCTTCCCCCCTCCTTCTTTCTTTCTCTCCTCTTTCTTTCTTTCTTTCTTTCTTTCTTTCTTTCTTTCTTCCTTCTTTCTTTCTTTCTTTCTTTCTTTCTTTCTTTCTTTCTTTTTTTTCTCTCTCTGTCTTCTTCTTAATGTTTTATCAATTGCATGCCTCCTGATTATTCACTTCTAGGGCATCATATATGAAGAAGAGAGACCACCTATCATTTCTGTGAATTTAGATGTGGACAAGCCTCAAGTCATGGACACTCTCTCTTTCACCTGCTTACTCTTGTTGACATTCACCATCCACCAAACAGCAACAGTGACTCCTGTCCCTTTCTCCAACAAACCCCAATCAATAAACACTTGTATTCATAGAAAATCTCTCCTTTAGTATTTCCTTGTTTGTGTATTTAACTTTGCAAAGTATTTTTGTATTAATTATGTATGTTTAACATACTGTTTTATTATTTTTGTTACATTACATGTTTATTTCAGTGTAGAAGGAAAATATAATTAGCATATTGTTCTTTATAGTATCATTGAACACTGCAAACAAATACATAATCTAATGAGTTCATTAAGTGTTAAATAACTAGGTACTTATTATTTAAAATTATTTATATTGTGGAGAAAGTGAAAGCTTTTTTTAAAAAAAATTTAAATGGTGTTAGTTTTGGTTATGCTGTGTTATAGTATTTCTGTCCCATTGTGGCTACACTGCTCTCCAACATGAGTCATATGAATCATTAGATCCAATGCCACTCAAAGGATCTGTGACAAGCAGGGCTGCTGAACAGGGACTAAGGTCCACTTCAACCAATGACTCAAAGCACAGAACTTCAGGTTTCCAAACTAAAACTAAAACTTTAGGTACTAAACATTCTGTTTTTTATGCACATCTTTCAACTTGCTACTGAACTCTTATAGTCTCCAAGCCATAGAATTCGGTGTGAGCAGCAGAAAAACCATCACCAGGTAGAAACGCATGCAAGATACATGGTTCCGTAGAGTCCTGAAAGCACAAGTGAGCAGCATGACCATTTGGCGCAGATCCCATGGAACTCACTTCTTCCCTTGCTCCTGTGCCTCAACTCACACTATGAACTCATGCAGAGTTCCCTATGGATTAGTTGACTGAGGAAGAAAAACAATACTCAGGCTTTGTGTATAGATCATTTTTACAATGCAGTGGCGACAACAAATGGTTGACAGCTACAACATTATGGCATCATACAGGGCTGTCCATAAATATGACAGGTGAGGGGAAATCATCCCAGTAGCCAAATTTTGAGCAATAAAATTTGTTGTCCACATTTTCCAGACTAAAAGACAGAAGAGAAACAGCTGTATATTGATTTACGGGCTATGGTTAATGGGTTGGTTGTATGGTCAGAAACATGGAATGAACAGAACAGTCTTTGGGGTTGAAAAGCAGGGTAACAGGTACATTGAAGGATCTTTTGTGATAGGCACAGGCTGTGGAGATGTTTACAAGCCATATGAATGCCTACCAGAGGGCATCTCTGCAGAGGAGGAGGCTTTCAGAACCAGGCAAGCTGTCTGTTCACTGGCTTCCTTCCTCAGCCACACCAGTGCCAGCCTAAAGGGAAAAATGTCTGGTATGAGATGATGCATGGGGTCAACAACATGGAATTCCCCCCATCAACATGGATCTGGCTCCTGTGG